CCCAATTAAAGATCCTTCAGTATAACTGATTTCTATCATTAGGACACCCTGCTTACTTCAGGCGAGCCTACAGTTTGGTTAGTTAACAGTAAATGCAGCTTAGCCAAACAAGAATAACATGCTAATGTTGTACATTTTATTGTGTTTTACACAAATAAAAAATGCTTTTTTCAGGGTTATTAAATTGAACAACAACTGCTGGTTGTTGGACTTTGATGCCCTTTGATGGGAAACTTATGTCCAATGGTTTTACATTATATTGAGAGTTTATGCTAAGCTAACTGGGGACTGGTTTCACAATTAGCATCCAATGACTCGGCAAGTTTGAGAACTCCAGAACTTCTTGAGAACATTAACACTGTGAAAATAACACAAGGAGTGTGTTCCTTTTTTTGTAATTTCAGGCCTTGTGGAAGTGAAGCAGAATAGAAAAAACACAGTTTGTGTACTTTTCTAGTCTCCAGTGACTCAGTGGTTGCGTTTGTATGTTTGAGCCTCCGTGTGAATGGGCTGAATCTCCATTTCTGGCACTACAGCAAGGTTTTCAGTTTGACATTTTTCTTACTGAAAAACATTTTAACAGTAGCTAGTCATTTACATCCAGACACACAAAACACACACAAATCAGTTGTACGAAAAGCATTTAGTGAGGAAATACAATTGGTACAATTTAAGGATAAAAAAAATCTCCCCTCTGCTTTGAAGAACTCATAAAACAAGAATTTTCAGAACAGCAGATGAAAGTATTAGCATATATTTACTTCTTACATTACTTAATTGATCTGTCCAATAGTATTCGTTCATTCATCAAATGGCTTTAATGTCTTCACTTCATGTTTATGACTTTGTGAATGCATGCCAAAACTAGTCTTGTACTTGCACAATGTTACACCATAATGTAGCAGTTTTAGATTTGTTTAAAGCACATTTAAAGCAGCTAGCATTTTTTTTAATAAAGAATTGTGTAAACCTAAGCCACTGGGAGATGACAGTCATGTGCTTTGTGTTGCCGCTTGTCTCTACAGTAACTCTGGCTGTTTTGTGTTTTGTGTTGCTTCCCTAAGAAGCCAAAGAGGTCTTTAAACACTCCCAGGCTCAGAATAATCATTACCCATGTCGACCCACTGGTGTTAACGAGCCTCCATTAAAGCCACAGAGAAAACTCATGAACATTCCTCTCTGTCCGGACTTCTCTTTTCTCTTCGCTTTTCTCTTTGCTCCCCTTCCTACGCCTGTGTTTGTTTTTCCCAGCAGACAGGAAGTGGACCTTATTCTCTCTTTTCTCCATGTCAGTCATTTACAGCCTCTCCCCGTAGCTGAACCAGTCCCATTACAGGAGAGTGCAACATGCTGTGCCGACACACTGGGGTGGTTGAAAAAATGGAACAACCTGCTTGGTATAATACCAGATCTAGAAAACAAAAAAGAGACTGTTTTCACAAAACAAATCGGCTGTTCTCTAAAATTCTGTTCTCTGCAACTTTAAAAAAAAAAAACACAATAAAGAAAAAATTAAAATATACAATACCCAAAAACTGTTCACCAGTTTACAAATTTTGGACAAAACTAACATGTAGAGCAACCAAAAGAATTTGAATGTAAAATTATAGGATTACTTATTTTTCTTTATTCTTCATTTTTGTTGTTGAAAGTAACACTTTTCAACGCTCGACACCTCTAAAAATACTTAATATGAAATATTACAAGAAAAAAATACTGCTTGCTTCTACTGTGGTACCATTTTGAAAGCAAAATTGGTTTTAAGGCACTGTGCTAATTCAAGACTTTATATACTGAGCAAATGTAGAGATTGAGGGCTACTTTATCAGAAAATAACTGTTGTAGTTTCATGATGGCATATGGTCATTCATAAGGTACATGTGATAGATTTACTTGTGCTTTCAGGACACCTTATGTAAATTCTGGTGTGTTCTGCGTTTCTCGTCTCATGGTTTCACGTGGAACACATTCATTACAGCTGATTTAATTTATCATTGATTATGTTAGTTTATTAATAATCGGTGGTTTGTCTAAGTAGCTTGATGAAACCGGGCTGACGTCAAACTTGGGCTGGTGATGTGCTGAATTTACTTCTTGTACCCTTGTGTAACAGAGCAGTGAAGTGTTAGGGACGGCTACACGGTGGCGCCCAAAAATAAATATACACTCACAGGACAGGAGGTATTCCCCCTACTAGTATTACACTCCAAGTAAATGCCTCCGCGAGTTGGCTGACTGCCCCATTGAGGACACGGCGATCTGATACAGTGATAACTGTCACAGGTGTGTGTGTGTGTGTGTGTGTGCACGCATGTCAGCTAGTGGTGACAGGCATCCACTTACCACACAGAAACTTATATAGAACACTACATGTTCTATATATATATACAGTATATATATATATGTGTGTGTGTCTGTGTGTGTGAGTACATATGTGTATATGTAATTCGCAGAGAATCTGATCCAACATAACAAAAAGTAACAGACTAATAAAAACTCATAACAAAATTTCAAGAGATAATTTCTGAAAACGCTTGTTTTGAGTCGTCAGAATGACACATGGTACATATTAAAACTATGCACATATGGTATATCAATTCAGTTGTATCTTGTGATAGATAAATAGATTGATAGCACAAAAAAAAGAAGATTTTAGTAAGTGATGACGGACCACAACAATTACTGACACCTTGAGGTCAAACTGTGAAAGTCAATCTCTTTTCGTAATCGAGCTCGTCAGTCATTTCAAGTTTCATGTCACACCGTATATTTTCATTTATTTTTTAATTCACGCCCAAACTGTCAGGCATCCAAGCCAGATGGAACTAGATAAAACGCCGGAACACAACCACTCAGCAGTTTAAAAATGAGAAAGCTTGCCTCTAAATAACGTCCCAATAAAACCCCCAAAAACTTTTTTACTGCTACAAATAGAAATTGACTAGATTTGTGACAAGTCGCCAAAGGCAAGAAACCCAAGTTGCTCATACTTTTTGGCCCGTCGGGGGTCAACACGGCGTATTGGCCTTGACTCTCTTGGTAGGTTTGGAAGGGAAGTTTATGCCCAATCCCCGACCTGACTTGACCACTTCATTCATCCAGGTACAGAACACTGCCACCTATTTGAAGCTGAATCTCTGCCTCTTGCTTGTAGACGTGTAGTTCGGTTTTAACCCACCGATTCGCCCACTGGCAGGCCACCCTTCCTACCCCTGTGCGGGACAAATAGAACACATGGAAGCCTGGAGCTTGCGCCTCTCTGCCGCACGTCAGCGACTACGTGCCGCCCTCACACAGGCGGCAAAAACATATCGGCTCGGAATCCACCGACTCCCACTAACCCGCAACAGTGTGCTCAGCATTACTCAGCACCACTGGAGCGTGTTGGAGCGCTCGGCGCTGTTGTGAAATGTGCTGAGCCGATCCTCCTGCTGCAAGAACCAAACCACATCAGTGCTGCCGGGGGCCCAAAGCCGCAACGTGCACAAATACTGAAATGTTTATCTGCCAGACGACATGTAGAGGTGGCTGGTTTTTGGTGGGACAATGGTAGTTTGCGAAATGGGCATCCCAAAGAAAAAGTGACCAAAAAAAAAGTGCAGGGACCAAGTGGGAAATGTTTATTGTTAAATCCAACTGTTTGTGATGCTGTTTGAGAAATACGCAAAAGTCAAAAACCACAGGCCATGGAAAAAGCGCTGAGTGGGCGTCCTTTAAAAAAACTACAGGATTTTGACCGGGTAATTCTCAGCCTTCATAGCTGTTTCCTGTAGGAGAAATAGCTGCCACACACTCTTAACATCACCGAAATCCAACAGATGCGGTTATGTGACATTGACGACAACTGGTGTGGTCGACAAACACACTCTAACACGAACCAGAGATGCTCGACTGTCAGCCTCCACCCCCCCTCCGGGAATTAAACACGCTCCATTCTTGGTGAGTGATGTAGCGTGGGTGGGTGCGCACATATGTGCGTGCGTGTGTGTGTGTGAGTCCAGGGAAGTTAGGAAGCCTGCAGAAGGCTCACATTCAAGCTCTCAAATTCACCAAAACTGATCAATGTTTTTTTCTTCTTGTCACGGCCCTGTTTCCCTGCTGTAAACTCCCCCCTCTCTTGTCAGTATTTGCTAAAGAATAACGTCATTGTGTGTTCATACATGCACGTGTTATTGTTGTGACTTAAACCGCTCCTGTAAACAGTTGATGAGGTGAAAACGACAAACAAAGGGAGCCAAAATGTTTGCCCACAGCACTATCTTGTGGTAATTCTCAGCACTAGCACCGTTACACTTGTTTTCCTCCTGAATAACACAGAGTCAGCTTTAGTGATGAAGATATTTGCAAAGGGCTTCAACCATCGATATGAATTCAGATTGAAACAAGTGCAAAGAATGTAAATAAAGTCAACAAAACAGAGAAAAGATGTCAGATCTTGATACTTCATTAGAAGATAGGTTCTTCCTCTTGAATTTGGTGGGAGGAACGTTCCTCAAAAGTCAGGAGAAGGAGAAGCAGGAGGAAATGTAGCAGCTATCAACATTGACTGGTAATGAATCAGTGGCATGAATTACCTATAACATTTGTTACTAGATCATAAGATCAACTATTGGTGCATATTTGACTTTTCCCTTTTTTCTCTAGAATTGGTGTTGAATGTTTTGTGCAAATCTCAAATGAACGACTTTCTTTTTGTTTGCATATGAACATTTTTTTAATCGATTTTTTATTATTATTTATTTATTTTTTCGGGCTTATTTTTCAGCCAATGCCAACTAAAATACTGCACAAAGTGCATGGAAAGAAGAATTTTACATGCTTTGGAAGAACATATTTGGTTACCAAGAGGTTATTGGGGAAGGAGGGGGCTTTCAAACTTTACTAGGCACAAAAAAACAGGATTTTTGGATTTAAAATATTCATGAAGAACTTGCTCGGGAGAGCTGCTTACTCACAAAAAAAGACCCAGACGTCAGACTTGGAGTGCACTCTCTACTCACATGGAGCTGCGTGTTGTTGTTGAGTTGGTCCTGACTGCTGGGTGAGGCGGCGGGATGGCAGTCGAGTCTAACTTTATCCCGACAGGCAGCGTGACACGCATATTTACAACCTGCAGAGGAGATAATACAGTGTCAGTTCACTCTAAAAATGAAAAGTAACAATCAAAGATAAAGGGAAGAGAGGTTTATCTCTGATTACAACTACGCAAAACGCACCAGAGGTGATTCTTTCCTGTAACGTATATGCAAATGCTGCCTTGATATCGACCCATCGGTTGGGGTCAGAGGTCACGGTGTGCAAATTAAAACCAGCGTCATGCAAATTCTGACCTGTGCAAAAAAACATGGCAGGGGGAACAGGTTTGGAAATAAAACTATTAGGGGATTAACTTTAACTATCATGTTCGAATCCCCAATGCACAGGATTTAAATGTGAAAAAAAAATTTAAAGCAGGATTTGCATTTGAATGTCTTTTTAACTTATATTCAGTTATTACGACATGGTCTGATATATCATTAACTATGAGGCAAATCAAGGTCACGTTAAAAATCCAACATCTGAGGCCAAATATTTGACTGACCGTTAGGATTCTGACTGTTTAAATGTATCAGCAAACACATTAGGGCATGAAAACAAGGGCACGGACAGGGAAAACGTTGAGTCAGGGGACAACGCTGAACACACAGAAAGCAGCAACAGTAGGACGGAGCTTGACCCTCGGTGTTCCTCTGTTCCTTTAACTCCTCAATAAACGTTTTCGCCGTAAAAAGAAATGCCATCCTTAACTGTTTTCAGGTGAGTTTTTGTTTGTTTGAAGAACAAACAAAAAAAAATAAGGCTTGGCCTAAACCATACAGGTGCTTATGTTGAGTACCTACATTCAATTCTCCCGAAAGTTTGAGATTATCATTAGAGTCTGATCAGGGGGATCTGAAAACCATTATCTTATCCTCGTGAAACATTTCATACACATAAAAAGACAGGAATTAGAGAGAAAGAAAAAAGTGAAAATGGGTTTTTTTCGATGCCGAGGGGGAAAACAAATGCAAACAAACTTAACCCTCAAAAACTGGCCAAACCCGGAACTCATCAATAGATGACGATGAAAAGAAAGAAGGAGCTCTTTTCTCGTCGCGTCCCGTTGGCGAGCAAACACGACCCAGTCAGACACACAATGACGAGATGCTGACAAACGCACACCACCCTACCTGAAGACCTCCTCCTGACATGCTGTCCAACTTTATCCGACAGTTTGCACATGGCTGCTCCCATCTCCCATCTTTACCTCAAACGCGCTCATTACTCTACGGTTTTACATTAAGGATTACGCGCACACACACACACAAACACACACTCTGGACTCTCATCCTCTGCTTCCGTCGGACTTCGGATGTGCGTCGCTGCCATTCTCCTGGTTTCCCTGTCTCGCTGTGATGTTGTGCTGAGTGGGTGATTTAACAGTCAAATGGAGTGTGATGGACGCGGACACGGGAGGGGGCGGTGGTGGACGGACGGAGGACTGCTGACTCAGTCGTCCGCCATCGCTCTCTCCACTCCCCTCTGTTTTTCTTTGCCCACTTAGATAGCTTGTTATGACGGCAACGTGTCTGCCTTCCCCGGCTTCCTGTCCATCCAATCATCTCAGTCTTAGTTCTAAGCTTCGCTGTGTATTATAAACCGTATCCACAGAGGAAGGCACACAGACCCCCTCTGAATCCATACGTCATGATGTGCCGAGTTCATGTTACTCTTTTTTTTTTAAAAAGGTCAAAAGAAAAATGAAAAGCTGCTAAGCATACACACCACGCTGACTAAGAATAATATTGTTCATTCTGTTACCACAGCAGGTTCGCTTTTGTACCTCTGAAATAAAAAAATTTCACCCCTTATTTAGATTATCTGTAATAAATAGGAGATTAAGTAAAAAACTAAATTTAGGCTTAAACTAACCTTGGCTTAAAATTTCCTTCATCGATTCCCCAAAAACTAATTTGTATGATTCACATTGGGAAGTTTTTGCCTCTAGAAGAGCTCTCTTAGTCAGAAAATGTCATTTTTCCATTTTTGGTGTATAGGACCCATGAATATCCTTATCTGACCTTTGCGGCACACACCAAAAACTGCAGTCCATCTTGTTTTTTGTTTTGATATTGTAGTCACAGTTGGAGAAAAGCTTGGTTATCAGAGCAACTGTGCCCCTGTGAACTAAGACTTTAGCTCAAAGGAGCAGTAGCAATCCACAGCTGTAGCATTTAAGTCATGTCTTCGAACACAAAAAAAATCAACCTAAGGACAAGCTGACAAGTTTCAAATGTTTTTTTTTAAGCAAAGGATTTCATGACCAAATACCTCTCATTAGCTCTCTATTTTGGTTTAACATGTTAGCATGCTAGCATTTTTTAAAGTGACAAAACAGAAAAGTCGATAGAAAAACAAGGTATCTATCTATCTATCTATCTATCTATCTATCTATCTATCTATCTAT